GGTGGATGCATTGGAGTAGCTGGGGAAAATGCTTCTGGGAGTTGTATCCACCTCATACACCTTGTATTCCAGTTCTGACCATCTTAGTGGTCAGAATGCTGGATGCATTCCAGGGCCATCTCTCCCGTACGAGGGGAGCCAAATCTTATTTCTCTTAGAACCATCTTGTTCTGAATGACTCCTCTTGTGGCTTCATGATCCTATCCTAGCAGGTATTTAACAAAAACTGATTCAAGACCTGCAGGCTTGAGTGAGTTCTCAGTCAGGCTCTCCTACAAGCAGGCAGGGCAGCAGTCTGTTTCCCGTCCATCCTTAGATGTGCTCTCAGAGCCAGCTTGTTTGGGGAAAGCTTCTTGCTGCTCTCAGGTCTCCTTTCTTGCTCCTTTGCCTCACACAGTCCCAGTGTTCTCTCATCTGTGTGACCACCAGAGGTAGTATCTGTAGTGTTTGGCGCTGCAGAAGCTGTTCTGAGACCAGGGTCAACACTGCAGCTCGTGCCTACAGCACCTTCATCGAGCATGGACATGGCAACTCCCGCTAATCTTCCTGGGCTTGTTTCTGCTGTGCTGGCCTGAAGGGCAGATCTGTGTGTGACCATCCCTTTTTGTCATCATACAGGGTCCTGTCAGCCTGCAGCTTGGCTGGCTGTAGCACTTTTGCTGTTATTTTGGAGTTGGTTAGGAATTGAGCCTTTCTATGGGGCCAGCAGCATGGAGAGGGACCTCCAAAGTAAGTGCCGAGTATATGACATCCAAGTGTTTGGGGGAGGTTGTCCAGTGGCTGCTCTCTGTCCCTTCCAGCTCCCCACGTGTACCAGAACTGCAGCTCATTGCTGTGGGACACACAGTGGAAGGTGTGTGGTTACTAGTGCTATAGAATCATAGAATAGTTAAGGTTGGAAAGGACCTTAAGATCATCTAGTTCCAACCCCCCCTGCCATGGGCAGGGACACCTTGCACTAAACCGTGTCACCCAAGACTCCATCCAAGCTGGCCTTGAACACTGCCAGGGATGGAGCATTTACAACTTCCTTGGGCAACCAATTTCAGTGCCTCACCACCCTCACAGTAAAGAACTTCCTCTTTATATCTAACCTGAACTTCCCTGTTTAAGTTTGAACCCATTACTGCTTGTCCTATCACTACAGTCCCTAATGAGGAGTCCCTCTCCAGCATCCTTATAGGCCCCCTTCAGATACTGGAAGACTGCTATGAGGTCTCCATGCAGCTTCTTTTCTCTAGGCAGAACAGCCCCAACTTTCTCAGCCTGTCTTCATATGGGGTGCTCCAGCCCCCTTATCATCCTTGTGGCCCTCCTCTGGACTTGCTCCAACAGCTCCATGTCCTGATGTTGAGGACACCAGAACTGTACACAATACTTTTAAGTGATGTCTCATGAGAGCACAGTAGAGGGGCAGGATCACCTCATTCGACCTGCTGGTCATGCTTCTTTTGATGCAGCCCAGGATACAGTTGGCCTTCTGGGCTATGAGCGCACACTGCCAGCTCATGTCCAGTTTCTCATCAATCAGCACCCCCACGTCCTTCTCTCATCCTTGTGGTGCTTACTGTGCTGCTGCCCACTCGATGTGGACACCAAGAGATGCAGCTGAGACTGGTGCAGAGAATGGGCCCCTTTGAGAGTGTCATTCCTTGTGGCTGTGTATACCAGCTGTCTCCTTCCTTGTTCCTTCTGTTTTTTCACAGTGACATCTCAACCTGTCCTTGAGCTGAGTCCTTATTTTTCACACAGTCTTATTAAGGCATCTTTACCATTCTTTAAATACCTTTGTTCTTGAGGCTTCCTTGAACAACTGGAACAACCAGAGCTAGTGTAACTAGCTCTGGGTATTGAATTTATCATTTTCCTCCTTAGGAATCAGGGGTGATGAGCTGTCTTCTTCTACAGCTAAGCAAACCTTGTTGGATTGCTGCGATGCTGCTGTGCTTTGGTACCTGTTTATTAATACTCACATAGCACATGTTGCTTAGATGCAAGTTTCAGAGTTCCTTCTGCCAGCCTGGGGGTGAACCATGGCAGCCAGGCTGTATGATAGCACGTAGATGCCATGAAGGTGCACAACACAGTATTGGGAAGTACTTTCCATGAAGAAGCAGTGTGCAGACTTCAACTGCCCCATGGGACAGCAAGCAGAGAGGTCCATCACGCTTCAGTTCCATGGAGCTGATCACAGCATGAGAAAAGGAACATGTTCCTTGAGAAGGTGATCCTGGTCCAGCCAGGATGCCCCTTTGTAGAAGGAGTAGCTTCCCTCAGACCCTGCCAGTGTTAGAACAGCCCAAGTTGTGGATCTGGAGCAGAGTAGCTCTCTTATAGAGAGCTGGTGTGTTCCAGCTCTACATGTCCCTCCCTAAATGTTACTGCACAAGGTTTGATGGGGGGCCATGACAGGGGAGGTGTGCTGTGTGCTGCAGGGACCCTTCTGCCCTAGAGAAACTGGGTGATGGAGGAACCTCCAGTCCAGCAGCTCCTCGACAAAGTCTGGCTGTGAGCCATGTCCCATCTGCTGTGTAGATCAGAGAGATGGAGGTAGTGTTGGTGGGTTGGTGGGGGGGAGCAATATTACAGCAGATTTGCGGAGGAAAGGGAAGCAGTTGAGAGCCCGGAGGTCTCCTCCAGAAGAAGCACTAGCTGCTCTCCACCATCCTGCTCTGCAACAAGAGGTGGCAGGGGATGGATGAGTGATCGTGGCATATCTGTCCCTCTCCCCACATCCCACACCAGTGCACAGAGCCCGACAAGCTGAGGGTTCATCCAGACTAGAGGAGCATGTCCTGCCAGCTGTACTTCTTCCAAGAGGGAGGCTTAACTCTTGTGCTCACAGGAAGCCAAGTCCTGTGTGGGATTTACACTCGCATCGCTGCAGAAACATTCCTGGAGACCATGCAAACCTCTGCTCCTTGTTGATCTTCCTCTGGCCAGGCAGACACTCCGCTTGGGTCCAGGCATGTGCTCAGACTGCGTTGCCTGGGAGAGCTTTAGATGCATTCTTCCTCCAGGAGGGAGCACGGGGTGGTTTTGCAGGCTGGGCTCTTCACAGGCTCAAACATGGAGAAAGGAGAAGCAGCAGCAGCTCTGGGGATAAAACTTTAAAAAATACTCAAGTGTGGTGACTTCCAGACCAAGGACTCTGCATACGCCTTTGATGGGGATTGACTCTCTCGGCCCTACCTGTGCACGTTCCTCACAGCTCTCCATCTGGGGCAGGAAGGAAGAGGCTGCCAGCACCATCATGTTCAAGCCCCAAGACCCGCCCACCATGCAGTTAAACTTTCTTCTGCTGGTTGCTCAAAACTCAGGTATGAAATGCTGAGCTGGGCCATGGGGTGTGAGGTCTTTGAAGGTTTCCAATCAACCCTAGATGAATGGCCACGACCGGGCTGTGATGGAGTGGATCTCCTCGTCGCCTACAGAGGCAGGAGGGGGAGTCTTCTCTTTGGTACATCCTAAATGGACATTACACAAATTGTGCACATTGGTTCAGTTTAAGCGTAGTATTTGTGAATTAAGTTATCTGATGCTTCGCATGAAAACTTCAAAAAGGGGAGGGGGGAATTTTAACTGGGAAAAAGCCTATGAAAATATACTGGAATTATGGTAAAGAAACTGACGTTCTGCTGTATATTGACAGAATTATTTTTATTAAAATACACATCCCTGTGCAAGAGCCAGCATGGAGCCGTGTGCTTTGTCAGCCCCATACACGGGGTTTCTCAACATTTTCATTTCTCGTTGGCAATAGCATCTTGTAACACCTTCCACATTTTGTTGACACAGCACTTTCTGCAGGTCAAAAACTTCCAGATTAGCTGTGTGCTATGGCAAGAATTGTTTTTTCTCCTTGTGCATTGTGTTCTCCATTTGTAATATTCTGGTTGGGGGCCTATGTGGTTTTGGTTTGCAACAGTGTTTAAAACAAATGGAGGAAATCATCTTCGCAACCCTCCAATGTGAATGATTGGGAAAGGCTGCTGTGTTTAAAGAGTGTCTGAAATAGAGTGGGGCTTTCTATCCATGAGCTTGCCACCTTTGCATTACGCATGGTGCAGGTCCATTTTTTCTTTCAAAAGACAATGTGGCCATCACAGCCCTCTATGTTACGTGCTCTCAAGGTATAACTCTGGAGCTTTATGTCTATAAACAGCCAGGCGCCACCCATGCCTGGTGGGTTTGTCCCCCAAAATCTGATTCTGCTTCAGCTTCCCTTTCCACCACTGCATCATCCCATGGTGCTTATGATTTGTGGGATGGGTTTTTCCTGTCCCCTACCTACATTTAATACTCTAGAAAACAACAGTCCTGCCTGTTTCCTAGTCACGAGTGTGAAACACCGATGAGGCTTTAGTCTGAGAATCAGTTCATGGCACTTACCACTGAGGGGATTGTGTCCTCACCCTCTGGGCACTGCAGACATTGGTTTCCATCTCCCTCACTTACCTTGCAGCAGCCACTAGCATATTTGAAAATTGATAAAGGATTTAGGTCTTCTCCCTAAACCCTCCACTCCAACCACCTAATTTTGGAGACCCAGCAGTGCCCAGGGGGCAGAAAGCATGCTGTAAGGACAAAAAGACTTACTTGTGGGTAAGGGTAACCTCATCTATGGGTCAAGACCTCGCCCCACTATCATATTGTCAAAGATGCATGCAGTGATTAGGCACAGTTTGTGCCAAGCCTGGAGAAACACGAGCCCGTGGCAAAAGGGGCATTCAGTCACACCATGCCCTGGGCTTGCAAGATACCTCCTTGGGCTGAAGAATCAGGAAAAATTCAAAGAGCAACTTGTGGCAATGAGTCTTTATTATTTTTATATATTCATTATAAATATTTGCTCCACTGGGGACATCTTGGGAGGGTAGTAACAGCTGAGCAACTTGGTGGCCACCATTACACTAGTCCTGGGGTGGTCCAGGCTGGCTCCAGCTGCAGTAACGGTGCCCACTGCCATGGAACCCTTCAAAGAAGCGCCATGAGCACTGTCAGCTCCCTCCAGAGACAGGAGGACTGGATGTGTGAGTCAGATGGTGGACAGCAGAAGGAGGATTTTTCCTTTGAAGGTTTTGTATGGCTCTCTTCACCCAGAGCTTCTTTGGGTCAGCGCAGACCACATCACCAGTGGCTGCCACAATCCTGCATTAAGAAAGTGAGAAAAGAGAGTAAAAACATGAATTGTGAGCTGTTCCTTCCCCAGGCACTACTTCTCCCCTCCCTGTGTGCAGCCCCATCCTGGATGAAGGCTTGGAGCCATCTCCAGCAGCCTGTGCCCTCCTCAGGCTGATGGTCCATGTCTGAGTCTTTCAGGACCAACTGGCATTAGCAGAAAGCGTCAAAAGCAAGGTTTTTTTCCCCCCTCTGCCCACTCTACAGAGCTGTTTTCTACCACAGCCCTGCCCAGGTCTGTGCTCCCAGCCGGGACCAAGCTGTTGGTAGGCACAGGAGAAGCTGCTCTAGCTCTAGCCATACCGCAGTGCAAACCCCAGCAGTACTCACACAACTGCAGGCAGGGAGCAGTCTTGGGGCGTCTTGTAGAAGCTCTTCATGCGTCGGACATACTTCTGCGCATACATGTCACAGCATTCAGTGGGCATGATGTGGGCTGTCAGGGGAAAAGAAGCATGTGAACACCCTAATTGCATCACTAGACAACTGCACTGCAGGATATTGAGCATGTGATGGGGGATGTGGAGCTTCTTGGCAGCTCCCACAGCACCTCGCAGTAGGGATTGGTTTCCCTTCGTGGCAGCAAGCACAGGAATGGGAAACGTGGACATTAGGGGGGAGGGGAACATGTGGGACCCATAGCCCACATTGCTGCAGTGTATGGTGAGGTCGGGGTGCCCAGCCAGGGGAAGACATTTTGGGGGTTTCCAAGGTTGGGGGCACAAATTGCAAGGTATTTCGGGAATCTCCAAACTGCTGCAACAGACTCCCCCCTCCAAGCACTTGCTCATGAGGCTGAGACCTGGGGGATGGCTGCCAGAGGCTCCTCCAAGTTCCTGCAGCATCTCCGCAGGGTTGGCTTTGCTGAGGCCACCCAGTACACTCTCCATCCTTCCCAGGATGTGCCACCCTGCCCTGACTAGGGGCGTGCACCTCCTGTCAGCAGTGCCATCCATGCTCCCCACCTGGGTTTCTTGCCCTGACCTCCCCAGTGGGGACAGGCTGAACCCAGCCTGCAGCACTGGCCCATTGGGTGCCTTACCTGCGATGTGGTGCAGGGAGAATGTGAGGAGCAGGATGAGCAGCAGGATTGTCCTTGCAGCGAACATGATGGCAGTGTGGGGGTTCTTCTTCCGTCCTGCTTCGTGCTACCTTGCCTGGTGTCTGTGCCTTTAGCTTTCACCATGCTGTAACTTATCCTCTGCATACCACCCACTTAAACCGCTTTTCCCCAAATTTCAGACATGTTCTAAGAAGCCTCTACAGACAAGGGGATTTCTGACATTTATTCTGAGGGCAGATCCAGTGGCTGGTCAAAAAGGCTGAGGATTGGGGCGACCACTTCTGCTTTCTGCAGAAGAGCCACAGGGCTGAGAGGGACTTCCAGGAGGCTTCAGGGGAAGCAAAATTTACTCAGGAAAGCAGACTATAAACAGCATTCTGTGACGACAAAACATCAAGTCTAATGCCTTCTTCTTCATTTCTAACAGGAGAGACAACCCAAAATCTCTGAGCAACTACAGATCAGTGACAGGTTTAGCTGGTTTGCCTGAGTCATCAAAAGCGAGTGACTGATGAGTCCCCTCCAAACCAGCCTCCCCAACCACCCTGCCCATACCAAGGTCATTGGGTTAGGCACTGAAGCACTCAGCATATGACGGGATGGGATGGGATGGGATGAAAAAGCCACACTGGACTGAACTAGGAGGGGTCCCAGAGCAAGTGGTGACAGAGATGCTTTTGGTGGGTTCAGGAGACTTTATAGAAGGGGAAGAAATGGGACAGCAGAAGTGGGGTGTCTACGACTGAGCCCAAGACTGAGCCCAAGCATTGCCTCCACCTCCCAGTCTGGTGATGGGATTGACATGGGAGGGTCAGAAGGATGGAGGTGTGTAGTTATCAGTGTACAGACAGGTCATTTCTTCAGGGAGATGGGACAAATCCTGCCACAACCCCAGGAGAGTCATCCCAGACCCCAGAGAGGATCCCAAGGGCAGCACCACACAGCACTGGTGGACATCAGCCCAGCTTCCATGCAGAGATCTGCTCCCCGGGAAGGTGAGATGCAGCTTCAAGGAGGGGTGGGACCTGGTGGGAACCCAAATGGGATGATGCTGACTGGGAACATGGGAGAGGACCTGTCTGTGGCTTGGGAATGAGGCAAGGCAGGGTTCTTGGAGGAGAGAAAGGTGGAAATTGACTTCCTTGAAGATCTCATGATTGTGCGACTTCTCTAGAAGAAGAAAGGAGAAGGAAACAAATCAAATGTGCTGACGACTCTGTTTTGGAAGAATGGTCTGCAGGCCATTGGGTCTGGTGACCTGGCACAGTAGCAGGGTGGGCATGCAGAGAGCTGGGCACAGTACCACTGGTTTCTAATGATGCTTTCCCCAGGCAAGGGCTCTGCAGGGAGAAGACACCTGATACACAGTCCCTGAGCCCTCTTTAAAGCCTCTGCATCCCCCAGGATATCCCGCCTGCCTTTTTGCAGCTCCTGCCACCTCCCCAACGTGTAAACCCACCAGGGTCACACCACCTCCCAGACATCAATTAAAAGCGAAGGGCTGTAATTAATGGTGGAACTGAGCAGATGGTTTTCTCCAGCCAACATCTCCTTACACAGGAAATTTCATGTGCCAAGCTCCAAGCTCACTTTTCAGGCTCTTCTGAGGCACATGGCCACTGCTCCTTTCCCCTAGCTAATTAACCCTGTCCTATCAGAAGCATTAGTAGATGCCTCCACTATCTATTCCTCTTAAAGCAAATGAGTGCATGTGGGGTATTTGAAGGCCTAGAGAGGCCCCAAGAGGTTCTCTGGAGGACTGGGCTTTCCCCTGGTATCGCTGCCCCAGCTGTGGACATTTGGGCTTGGCTTCAGTCTCCTCCAGCCCCTTCCAAACTGCCACACTCAGGTGCCCCTGATGACCTCACAGGCCACCTCCACCAGTGGCAGAGTATCCTCCCCATATGTGGAGCTCCAGGGCCTCCTCCAGGTTTGTGTGATTAGGCAAATGCAAAAGCCACCTGTGTAGAGAGAAGAGGAGGGACAGGCTGTGCACATGATTTTATTGATGTCTAAACCAACTGCAACCTCACTATAGTTGAATGCAGCCCTCTCTAGAGGAAAACTTTATCACCATCAACCATGGCCAAAAAGGCAAAGGCAAAACTGTAACAATAACCAACTTCCGTAAGTCCACCAGAGACTTCTTCCAGTGCTATGGCTAGGAATAGGAGAATTGGAAAAGGCAATGTGTCAAGGGAAATAGTATAACAAACTCTATGATAGAGGCCATACAGTGAAAAGACCTTACAAACAGAGGTCAAATCTAGATCTCAAATGCTGATACAAAACCAGTTAGCATTAGATGATCTATTAGAGGCCAGTGGAGGGGTTTGTGCTCTCATTAACACCGTGTAGACCAAGACAGAAGAATAGGAACAGATGTAATGACAATCCAAAGCCGCCTAAAAATTTTTCATAAAATTCAGAACCCATTCCTTTTTCTGGGTAGCATTGACACCAGGCATGGTTTGCAAATGTACTTAAAATATTGTTCAAATCTGCATGTATAGGGCTAATGGCTATAATATTAAACCTCATGTCTGTTCAACTCATTACTGGTTGTGCCAAGATTGTATGTCTAAGCAGCGGGCAATTCCACAACAAAGAGAAAGCTGATGGCAATGGAAATCGATGAGAGAGAGAAAGAAACTAAAGCCAAAGAAAACCAACTCTTTAATATCACAGAATCACAGAATCCCAGACTGGTTTGGGTTGGAAGGGACCTTAAAGCTCATCCAGTCCCAACCCCCTGCCAGGCTGCTCCAAGCTCCATCCAACCTAGCCTTGAACACTGCCAGGGATGGGGCAGCCACAGCTTCTCTGGGCACCCTGTGCCAAGGCCTCAGCACCCTCACAGAGAAGAACTTCTTCCCCAGATCCCATCTCAGTCTCCCCTCTGTCAGGTTAAAGCCATTCCCCCTTGTCCTGTCCCTACAGGCCCTTGTCCAAAGCCTCTCTCCAGGTTTTTTGTAGCCCCTTTAGGCACTGGAGTTGCTCTAAGGTGACCCTGTAGTCTTCTCTTCTCCAGGCTGAACAAGAAATGTCTCCTTTTCTCAGCCTGTCTACAGAGTCTGTCTTGGTCTCCAGCCTGTCTTGTAGCCCTCCCCTGGCAGCTGTGCTGTAGCCTTCCAGGACAGCAGGTCCTGAGTTACCCAGATCTTACCACAGAACACACAGCCACTGTCCCAAACAGGTGCCCTTCTCCTGTCCTTGGTCTGGACCCTCTGTCGGAAGCTTCTAATGCACATCATGGCCTCACAGCCCCATTCCTGTGCCTATCTGCAGGTGACAGCAGCTGCAGAGATCTGTGCTGGTTGGAGAAGTCAGCCCTGAAGGATGGCCCAAGCCCCAGTGTACTGGATACCATAGAGCTGGCAGGGAGCCATGTGGCAGGGGCTGGTGGGACTCACATGCACCATGGGATGGGAAAAGAGGCCTCTCAATGGGCTAAGCTAGGGCTGAAATCGCAGTGATGCTGGTTCTGTGCTGGCACATCTCTGCCAGGAGCAGATGCTAGAGAAGGTGGATTAAAGACCAGGCTAGAGGTGAGGTGTTGGGCTCCCTGGCACCCTGTGCTCACTCCCTGCACAATGCCGGGCTGGATATCCCCACACAGAGCCCTGAGGTTGATGCTGCAGCCATGCCACAGCTGCCAGGAGAGGTCACCAAGACCAAGCAAATAGGGTCCCTCCATGACCCTGAAGAGCAGAGGCAAAGGTTTGAAAGGTTTCCTCAAACTGAATCATCTCCTGGTGCACCCAGGAGGCAGCAGAAAGAGCGCCCATCCCACCCCAGCCCCTTGGTTGGTTCTGTGTCTCTACATGACAGGCAGCAGCACAGCTGCTGAGGCTGGGAGGAGAAATGCCACCACCACTCTCCCATACCACAAGAACTAAAGCTTTATTGGTGGCTGTGCTCAGCAGGCAGGTGCTGGTGGGGCCGGCAGCACCCCAGGAGCTGGCGCCCAGCTGGTCATTGCGGTGCAGGGCTCTGGGGAGTCAGTGCCCACCCTCAGCAGTGGTGACCTCTGTAGCCCATCCCAGGAGGATGACTGCAAACCTTCCTTCCCACCAGGACGTTGGGTAGCCTATACCAGGGCACCCACTCTACATCATGGGACACAAAGTCCCTTCCTATTTTGAAGTCTTTCAACTTTTTTCTCCACCCAAGTGACCTCTGGGTTTGCACAGACCTTGGTCTCATGCCTGGTCTCAAACCTCCCAAGAGGAAAGGTGAAGCTTGGTGAGAAACAACAGATAAAACACCACATACGTCCATGCCATCCTCCCTACCCTTCTCTCCTGCTCCTCTCCCTTTGGCCCTGCATGCTGTCCTTGATGTCCTACAAGCAGCTTATACTGCAGCCCAGTGCCTCTAGAGCTTGTGCAGAGCCTTCAGGAGCTGCAATTGACTGCGAGTCCTTACCTCCTACCTCTGCCTTGTAGAACTGGCCAGACAGTCATGTCCTCTCTCTTCACATTGGAAGACAGCCACCCATGGACTGCGCCATGCAGACCTGGCCTAGTCCTGTCCCCAGAGCCTCTGACCTGAACCATGAACTGAACCTATGGTGACAGCGCAGCAGTGGGAAAATTGCCAGGACTTACACAATTGCTGGGGAAGAGCACTCCTTGGGAGCTGTGAGGAAGTCCTTCAGGTTAGCCAGCCGTAGAGGGGACTCCTGTAACTGAAGCGGCAGACAAACAGTGTGTGTGGGACTGGAGAAGACAAAGAGAGACAGTGAATGCTGGCTTTGGAAAGCAGTCTTTAAGACCTTCCCCCATGATGCAACTGATGCATCCCCCTGTTCTGCAGATGATGCCATGAGGACCCCTAGGTGCCCTGCTCCATTCCCGGGGCTGGAGGATGCTTCAGTTTATCCCCAGCACTGACAGCCCTCAGCCAGCTTTGCCAAAGACACCCAGCCCTGGAAACATCCTTCCCTGCACCACAGGACATGCAGCCATGCCCCAATCAGGGAGTTGCTCCTCCTGCCATCAACACTGTCCCTGCTTTACACTGCAGTTTCTTGCCCTGACCTCCACAACAGGACAACCCTCAGCCCTGACCCGCAGCAGGGGCTCATGAGCTTTACCTGCATCACAGCACGGGGAGAGGGTGAGTAGCATGGCGAGCACCAGGACCATGCTTGCACTGAGCATAGTGGCAACATGAGGGCCTTTCCTCAAGGGTGCTGCTCTGCCTCCTCCTTGGAGCTCAGCTGTGAGCTTAGGCAAGGCAGTGCTGCAATAGCCCTTTTCCAAATAATTTTGACCAACTTCAAGTGAAAGCCCTGTGTGCTTCCTTTGACCCAGCGGATTTCCATGTCACGTGGGATCTTCAGGGTAACTGACTGCGGTGATACCTAGAAAGAGCTTTGTACATCGAGGGAAAGCCACAGGGTCTGAAAGGGAAGTGAAATCCTTCTCTGCAGAGGCGTAACCCCAAGGGCTCTCAAATCCACATAAAGGGGATTCATGATGACTTTCCCTGCAAAGTCACTTATTAGCCCCAGAGCCAACAAAGGCTTGCTGGAGATGGCTGGATGGCTTCTGAACTCGATGGGAAGCATAAGTGGAAACGCAGTGACTGCTGCTGCCATCAGCCCTCTGTGGCTCAAAAGATGCAAGATGTCAAATACCTCCAGAAATTGCATCACATTGCATGCTGTTTCTATGGAGAGGAATACAAGCTTTCCACCATCTATCTTTGTTTATAGCTGGCAAGCACGGGGTGAAGGGAGAAGGGGTTGCAGCCAAGCCCTCCCTTGCACATGAGGCTGGCTTAGCCCCTTAGCTTCAGGGCAGGAGGCTGAATCAGGCCAAGGGAAGTGGAAGGAAGAGCTGGTGTCCACAGTTCTAAGGTGTTTTTCCAACACCTTCCTCCCTTCACAGCCTTGAAGCCTGCAGGGATCTGAGATAGGGGGTCAACTTCTCTGTGTTAATATGGGGACAGTTTCCCCTCACTGTGCTCAACTTCCCTTCCTTACTCAGCCACTCAGAGCACCAGACCCTTCTGCAGCTCCCTGCCAGGTATCCAGGCATGCACAGCCCCTGCTCTGAAGCTTGTTGTCCCATTGCCTCTTTTTTTCCAGGCTATAAACAGATGCATGGATCTGCATTCCATGCAGATCCCTGGACACCACAGTTCCCCCTCATCCACTGTGAGGCACCTAAGGGGCACCTCAAGCCCTTCTTCACATTGTCACCCCTCTGCCCCTTTGGAGCAGGACATTATGCCCTGGACTGCACCATCCCTGGATGTCTATTCAAAAACCTGGGGGAAACCTACACAATGCTGAGAAATGCTCAGGACATGTCCAGGTCTCCTCAACTCCAGCTGCAGTGGCAGACACATCCTGCTGATGGTGGCTCAAGAAGCTTAGGCAGGGTATGCCAAGGCTCTTCCCAACCTAGTAGACACGATGAAAATACACACACAGACGTGTGCAGCTGCTCTGCTTTGGCTCAGCTCTTGTGCCAAGATGGAGACTCCTCATCTCAGAAGCACGGCTTAGCCCAGGAGGAGATGGCGTGTAGCAGCTGTGTAGCAGCCAGAGGACTAAAAATAAAGCATTTCTGGACAGGTCCCACAACCCCTAAGGACAGTGCTGCTCCTTCCTGCATGCATTCAGCCCAGTAACTCAGTGTCTCTCTGGGCTGTAATAAAATCCTTGTGCCCTCCTGCTGATCCCCCAAAGCATCTTTCCTTTTCCCCCCAGCTTTACAGGTGCTCCCTTTCCTTCTCAGCCACTTCCCCACCTTTGCTCTGCCCCAGGCTCCCTTCCTGCAGACTTGTGTGCCTCTACAAGAATGCCTCCCCACACCTGGGCCATGGCAGCTGGGACCAGAGCAGCCTCCCATCCCACAAGACCATCCCAGCACGCAGCCTTTTGGAGACCACAATGCTCTGAGCTGTAGCCAAACTGGCAACACTGAGCTGAGGACATGGGCCATATTGCTGCTCATATTGCCACTGCCTGAGGGCTGGACCCTGTTCAACACAGAAGGATTTTGGGGATGGACTTGCTGCAAGCCCATGGCATGTCTCCCCACGGCCTCAGGCTTCACCCAACCACTCCATTCATGGAGGATGCTTTAGGTGGGCAGCCAGGGCAGCACAGTGCTGGTGGCTGAACAAATACAGGGGCTCCCTGCAGCCAGTCAGGGAAGAGACTGCTCTGGATGGAGAGGAGCTTGAGAATTAAAACTACCATTGGGGGCCTGCTTCTGCAGGGTTGTGCCTGCTTATCTGGCAGAAGGTCTGGCCTGGGATGCTCTGCTTCCCCTTTCTCAGGTCTTCAAGCCATCAGTATTGCAGCCAGACAATTCACAATTCCCTGGAGATCCTTTGATGTTTATTCTTTTACTTTTGGGGAAGGGAAAGGCTGGTATGCTGTTATTAACTGATGAGTGCTGGAAAGCCCCACTGCTGGCCCAAGTTTTGTTTTCATTTGGATGGGCTCTGAAGAATTTGCTTGTTTACATAAAAAAACCAACAGTGTCCTTTTGATCCTGCAAGAGAAGGAAGAGGAGGGAAGCTTGGGGATACCTCAGGTGCAGCCTTTGCCAGCAGTGGTGCCAGTGGAGGGAGGAAGGAGCTGGGCATAACACGCCCCATGCTTGGAAATAAGCTCTCAGCAAGTAACTGAGCATACCCAGCTGTTCGGGAAAACAGCCTCACTGGCACTATGCTACTCAGGAAGCTGGGCTGCCAAGGCAGGAGAGGTACTGGCTGAGCATCACCAGGAAACCTCTCTGCAGGGAGGCAGTGGGAGGGTTAGGAATAAGCTTTTCCCTATTAACTTTGGTTCTACCCAGTCACTTTGAGTCTTCTCCATTTAGAATATGAAACATTCTAGGTTTTCTTCCATTTAAACCTCCACTTTCTGAGTGTAAAGCCCCTCCATATTTCTCTGGGGTGCTCACTCAAGGGTCTTCCCAGTTCCATTTTGAAGCTCTGGTTGACTCAGGATAAAATCACAAACCAAAAGCAATGCTCTTGTTGCTTCCCGGAATCAGCGTTCACCCTGTGACTCCAGGTAAAACCGTGCCAGGTCCTACATCCTGGAAAGACAATTTGAAAAGAGGAAAACAAGAGTGTCTTCCAAAGCCTGCTTCCTATAGCTGGACACTGGGGACAAGCAAGTACTGGAAGCTGCTGATCCAAACCACATCCTGTGCCGTAAGTCCTGCTTGGTGCCATGAGACGCAGAGGTTGCAGGAAGGACATACCCAGGAGCCCTTTCCCAGAGGATTATCTGCACTAAATCACTGGGCAAGCTCACCCACTGGCACAAACGATGGAGCAGAAACCCACCATGGCCAGGCTGGGAACCCTCACCACAACAGCCAAGCAGAGAAGCTGGGGGGGATGCATCTGAATGGGAAGCAGCCACCTCACTAAGGAAGTGAAAACAAGTTTGTAATTCTGGTTTTTGTGCATTTTTCAAACACACTGAAAAAGGAGACATTTTTCCATTTTTTCCTCCAATGGGGTTGATCAACTGACTGCAGGTTAAGTGAAGGCTGGATCTGGGGTGTCAGGAGGAGCTGCTGCACCTGAGGGAGACTGAGCCAGAGATGCTTCTGTGTCAGGTAGCGCTCAAGGACAAGGATGTTTGGTGAGGACTTCAGCCTCCTTTTTAAAAGCCTGACCTTTTTTGAGCTCCTAGAGTCAAAGGCAGTGGTGTGAAGCCTTGTTGCTCACCTCCACTCCTGAGATGGTCACTGAAGGGGTATGACCCTGGAGAGTCCCCACAGCCTCTGCGGTTACCCAAAGGGGGACCTCAGCTACAAGAGCAGCCCTTGCAGTGATGTGAACATGCACACATCCCTCATAAAAGTAGAGATTAAGCAAACCCAAATCATGGAAGAACCATAGCTGTACAACTGGAGAGCCAAAGCAGCTAAGGGGACATCCTGCACTCTACCAAGTCAGCATCATGAAAGCAATGGTAGGTTAGCTTGGCTGGAGGATGACCTAAGCACGAGCATGCTGATGCAACATTTCACAGGAAATCCACCATGCCAAGTGGGAACAAGCATTTCATACGACACAGTGCAAGTCTCAAACCAGAAAGGACAGAGTCTGCTGGGTGTCTGCTTCTCAGGAATAACTGTGTCCCTCATACATCACCCGCAGACAAGTCAGGGCTTGGAGAAGGCAATGGCAGAGGTCCAGACTGCAGGGAGCAGTGAGAGGGGACAAGCCAAAGGTGACCAACACAAGAGGGATGTGGACCTACTCAAGTGAGTTCAGAGAAGGCCACAGAGATGCTGTGAGGGCTGGAGCGCCTCTGCTCTGGAGACAAGCTGAGAGGGCTGGGATTGTTCAGCCTGGAGAAGAGAAGGCTCTAGGGAGACCTTAGAGCAGCTTCCAGTGCCTAAAGGGGCTGCAAGAAACCTGGAGAGGAGGTTTTGACAAGGGTCTGTAGGGACAGGACAAGGGGGAATGGCTTTGAACTGACAGAGGGGAGATTAAGATAAGATCTTAGGCAGAAGTTCTTCCCTGTGAGGGTGCTGAGGCCCTGGCACAGGTTGCCCAGAGAAGCTGTGGCTGCCCTATCCCTGGAACTGTTCAAGGCCTGTGCGACCCCTGCATAGGTGAAAGTGGCCCCTGCCTGTGGCAGGGGATTGTAACTGGATGAGCTTTAAGGTCCCTTCCAACCCAAACCAGTCTGTAAGTCTATGATTCTCTAACCTCAGCACAGGCAGTGTCCTCACCAGTGAAGTCCCACAGGGTCTGAGCATAGTGGCAGAGCCAGGTGCTGGTAACAGGGTCTGTCTGTGGTCCCAGACAGACCAAAGTGAGAAACTAGGTCCATGATCTACTTGGGAGGCTTAGGGGCATCCATTCACCAGCCACAGGAGAAGGGGAGAGAGACAGGGCTACAGCACCACAGGGTCTAGCCAGCCAGGAGACAAGATACCTACAGCATATGTTCAAGGTCTATCCAATAGCAGGGCTAGGACATCAGACCAACACTTTACAATACATCCAAAGCAGGTATTGGAAGCTCAAGCCTGAGCTTAAATGGGGCTCCTGGACTTTGTGCAGTGGGTGGGGGTGGCAGACCCCACGTGAAGGTGGTCGGGGTGATTAAGGCCAATTAGTGCCCTCGAGGCCTGCCAGTGCGCCATCTGATGGATCCTGTGGGAATGTGAGGGCATAGAGGCGAGCCAATGTGGAGTCCCAGTGATGCCTTGTCCTCGTGAGGTCAACCAAATCAGCTAGATAATGAAGTGGTGGAGAGGGTTTGCACTGATGCGGAGTTCGAAAACAAAGATGTGGGTCAGGAAGGCACCAGAAGAGGCATGCCATGACCACAGCCTCCCTGTCTCTCACAGGTTTTGGGGAAACATTGAGGCAGAAGCATGCGTCTGGCACAGTAGGTGCAGAAGACAAGCCTTGTCCCACCTGAGCATGACAGACTTGGCATTGGTTATCTCCTGGACCAAATTCTACAACCGTGGCAGACCATGCACCTCCAGGAGGAATACAAGAAGGTGCATGGCTGGACATTCTTTGCACAGGATCTTTTCCCTGCACTGCCAGACTTAGAGAAGCTGGGGAGCAGCAGCAAAACTGGTGAGCATGTGACTCCAACTGGCCGAGGGATTGACCATGCATTCCAATGCTCCCCAGGAGCCACAGCCCCTGGCGGCCCCATGCTGGCGCTCACTCCATGTGTTGGAAGAGATTCATTGCTGTCGGGGCTGCCTTGTTTACACAGCCCCCCTCCTGTGTAACAGAGAGGAGAAACGAACTTCTTATCCCCAAAATGACCTTTCTGATTCATGGAGGGAAAATTTTTCACAGGACTTGCCATCTTCCATGCTTGTTGGTGGTGATGGAGTATGGCTGGGACCATGCTCTTGGGAGATGCTCACTCCTGACCCTCTTGCTCCTTCCAGCTCCCCACTCCAGGCAAGTCCCTGGGCGCTCACTCATGTGTTGCTTTCCTGCCTCTCTTCCCAACACTAGAGAGGGGCACACAAGGGCAGCTCAAGCCCTGGCTGGGGGTTGAGAGGTCCTAGCTCAGCCGTTGGGCTCTTACTCCCTCACAGAACAGACTTAGAGCTTAATGTTTGATTTCTGTGGGTAGCTGTTTGGCTGCAGCTTTACTTAAACAAAGCAAAACCCCAGCTGTTTGTTCAGTACTGCTTTAGCAGGACGGGAAATGCAATTCCCTGTGAGAAAACATACTCCCTGCAAGATTTTGGCAAGACTGAAGCCCTTAAACAGTGGAGCAATAGCCCAGCCACATCAGCTGTGTCTGCTTTGCTGTCTCTCGGCAATGCTGGGATTCCTCCCATGGTGCTTAATCACACACATGCACCTCCAAAGCTCTACAGGGACCAGGCTTGGGAATCCAGCCCTGGGCTGGATCCCCTGAGGACACATCTTTAACATAAAGACTTTATTACTTTTACTTCTATAAAAAGGTACAGAACAGACATCTCACACACACTCAGATACACTTGATACAGCAATGAATCAGAGCTTGACAATAGCCACACTGTACAGTGAATGACATCTTAAGCTGTGGAGCTGAAACCAAATCAGTGTCCTTACAAATACTGATCGAAGCGATCACATCACCTGGTGCTCACTCATCTTCCCAGCATTGCCTTCAGCTGAGGACTTCATCTGTAGCCAGACAAGACAAGTGTCCATCCCATTTGCTGTAGTGCCTGTAGAGTGACCCAGCTCTCTTGGATATCCACAGCCACCCAAGCCCAGCAAGAAAATAGACAAGGCACAATGTTTTCCAGTGTTCCCAGAAAGGTCTTGACCCCGCAATGCTCCAGTAGCAAGGACAGGACATTACATACACTCAAGTCACTAGAAAACTCTACTATAAAAAGAATATTTCTTCTATATGTGCTTCATACAAAAATAATGCCACAGGACATGGCCTCATGAAGTGTGAGGCTGAGAGCTCAGCTGTGCAGGAGCAGGGTGGGTAGCACCACTGACAGCCCCTGATTGACCCTCCAGGTAAGCCAACCCCAGCTGGTGTCACACAGCTGGGCTGTCACCCAAAATTCCTGATTACAGTTAATTTGATTGTGTTCTGCACTTGCAAAGCATGAGATCAACCCCTGCCCTCTAGCAAGTCAAAAATATACAGATATAAGGGATTGAAAGATGGCAGAAAACAAACACCATTGCAGTCTATCCTCTCCACCTCCAGGGCTGGATGGATGCCCTGATGGTGCAATCTGATGGATCTAATAGGCCACCTTCCTCTAGCCCTGCTTTATAGCTGGGCCCTCCTTTTTGCTTTGATTATGTTTCTTTTTATGAGTTTTTGCTTTCTTCTTTTTTTTTTGCATGCATACTTCTGATTCACTGAGGCTGGTTAGAGGAGGATCTGACCCTTGATACTTATCTCTACCTACAAAGCATCATATTGTGAAGATCTTTGCACACTCCAGCAAAATTCATACTGGAGTCAATGTTTAATAAGGGCTTTCAGGAACAGATCACAGATAATAGAAAAGGCTTATAACATACAGTAGCATCTAGATGTGTAAAAATCAAAACCAATTTGGGTTAATAAAAACAGCCTGATACTATTACAGTGTATTAACAGCCTGGTGATCAGTCCTACCCACAAAAGAAAAATTGAAATTCAGCTGAAGTGCACAACTATGAACAGGCATTTTGTCCTTTCTTGTAGACAGCAAAAGTGCTTATTTCTAGGTGTTCTGAGAGTGTACTTCCTGGGTTTTGTGCTTGCAGAGAAAAGCAAAACCCCTCCCATGTTATCACAAGAACAGCAAAATTACTGGGTGACTTCTTGTTTTTTCCCCATTTGCAAAGGCTCATCCACATTATCCTGCCCTAGTACTGGACACAGCTGGACATGGCCCATCAGTTGGCAGAAGGGTTTTATTGCAGTTGACTTGCCAAGAGCCAGGTCTCAGACTAAATTCCCAAGAAGAAATGCAGTTAGTGAGAAAGGTGGACTGATTTCAAGGAGACAGACTGTGGGCTGCCAGCTCCTCTGAACATGAAATCTGTAGCACAGACCTTCAATCCCCTAATCAGACGCAGTTTTCATCACGTCAGTCTGAAAACTAGGCCACCCCTTGTGTCTCCAGCAAGAGTAAATGGAGTATTTGATCAACCCAAGGAAAGCCAGCCCCCAGCTAACCACCAGCATCAGTCTTGGTCTGACCAAGCAGCCACCTGAAGCACAAAGAAAGCAGCTGCAGAGGGTTTAAGTGCAAGTTGTGTGGGTTTGGTGTTAAAATTGCCCAAGGTGGCTGAGCCTGAGTCTGGCAGCATGGGTGAGTCAATAGCTTCTCAGCTGGGCCATCATGAAATGCAGGAAAATCCCCAACAGTGATTTGGAAAGTCATATCTGCCCACCACCTGGCAAAGAGCCACCAAGCAGTTCTAGAACAGCAACAGCCTTTGTATGTAACAGTGGAGAAGGAAAAAGGGTCTCATTTATTTCCAAAATTGGTCAAAGATTAATTTTTTGGACATTCAGCTCTGCAAAAAAAATCAGTTTTCTCTGGTAGTTTTATTCCCTGCTTTCCTTCCTGCTGGTCACCAGTTCAACATAAACTTAGCTTTTCTGCAGCAACACACAGTTTGGGCCAAAAATGCCCATGCCATAAAGCATTCAGATTACTTCCATTGGATAGATATTATTTTGATGTCTCTCCTGCTGGTAAAGCAAGCCCTGCACCATTTCTCTTGACATTTCTTCTGTTTTGACTCCAAATTTTAGATATAGCCATACAGCAGCAACAGTGCAAACCATCAGACTGCACACCACAGAAACTGGGATGACAAAATGCATTTGAGATGTTGACAAGAAGCTGGGAAGAGGCAGAATATTCGGTCTTTCTGTAGTCATCTGTACTCTCGCTTGGCCTAAGAATGCTTGACTAGTGAAAATTAACATAACTGAAGGCTCTTGCTTTCCTACGGGTGATGAATAATCAAATGTTGTGGTACCAAAAGCACCTACAGAGGAACTGAAAACTTTGTTGGTATGGACAGAAGGACCTTTGTCTGTGGCAGTTGTGGAGTTTAGAGTAGGAACTGAAGCAGTTTCCACACTGTTCAGGATGGAGGGGGGATCTAAACCCCTAGAATCAGTGTCTGGTGCATTGGTTTTTGCACTTGTAGGGTCCAAGGATTCATTTATAGGAAGTCCAGGGTGGTCTGATCCTTTAGAAATGACCACGGGGTCTGAATTGGAGCTAGGAGAAGTCACGTCTCGAACATCAGACACAGCATTTGCAGCGTCTCCTACAGGTTCTTCTCTAGATCCTACAGCATTGTCAAAGCCATGCACAACAGTCTTGTGGAATGGGGTGGGCTGGCTGGAGATAATGCCTGTTGCAGTTGTTGAAGGTGCAGGAGATTTTAAGGAATCTCTTTTTGCTTCTGGAGTGACTTCAGAGCGGGCAGTGGCCTGAGATGGAGCTGTTACTGTAAGGCCAACATGTTTCTGAAAAACACCAGGCTCTTCTGAAGCCGCTGCTGAGGTGGCACCATGTGAAAGTGGAAAGGCTTCAGCCTTTTTTTGGTCTAGTTTCTCTACAATCTTCTTCACCCACTCTGCCTCTGGATCTGCACAAATCTCCACAGACTTCAGGGTAATAAATCTGAAAATAAAAAAGGATAACTTAGTGGATAAAGAAAACAGTGGTTTAGATGATCAGCATGATAAGGAAGGCATGCAGACAGCAACACTGACTCTCTCAAGCCCATAGTAAACATCACAGGCGTTGGATGGATTATTTATTTCAGAAAGGGCAGGTGCCTCCGAGGTCTGATTGAATGGTGAGCTGATGAGGAAGGGTTTCCCCTCCAAGAAGTTTTTCTCTTTTGAAAGCATTGTTCTGACGTTTGGATGCAGTGTTTGCCTTCAGCGCTCAGAGGAGGGAAGTTCTGCAAGCACCAGGTGCCCAGGGGCAAACATATGTGAAGACAAACCCCTCTGGTTTACTGAGTGAAATGAGACTTCGCAAGGTCAGCCCAGCAGGTTCACTCTGGAGCCACCTCCTGAGCTGCGATAAAATGGTCTTAATAGTGCCTCAGTTTCAGGATAAGCTGAAAACAACAATTAGCCTGGGGGGGAATGAAGCTTTTCTTAGCTCCAGACAAGCTCCAAGTCTTAATTCGTCCCAAGAGAAAACAACTGCTTTCACAGAAACATTTGAGCTCTCACCCTGTGTGCTTCCCTGAAAGTGCTGGAACCGGATGAGCTTTAAGCTCCCTTGCAACCAAAACCAGTCTGTGAGCCTATGATTCTATGATTCCAGTGCCCCATTCTGCCAGCAAGTACATCTGTTAGTCCTTTCCCCACTTATTTATCCCTACTTCACTCTGTGTGTGAGCCCATGATCTCACTTGAAGGCTGCTGGTCTTTAAATAGGGGAAAAAACCCTACCCACCCTTCTAATAAATACCAGCATTTGCTCTGTTTCCAGGCTGCTCCTTGCTCCAAAGCAAGGGCACAGGCTGACAGGGTGATGCTGAATCAGAGGTTTGGGCAGTGGGGTAGTGCTTACATGACAGCTTGTTTGGGGCAGCGGGGCTCAGTCCTGCGGTAGCTCCTTATCCGCTTTGCTGCTATCCCAGATGTAAACCCACCACACTCAGTTGAACACTTCAGAGGTGCTTTAGGTTGCCCTGAAATAAAGTATTCAACATATTAAATACTGGCTTTTTATCTGGTACTGTAAAAACTGGCACTGTTTCTTTTTTCTCTTCTCTGGGCAGGAGTCCAGAGCTTGCCATGAAAGTTTCTGATCCCTGCTAGAAAGAGTTGAAGAAAAATCCCATGAGGGCCACGAGTTTCTGTATCACCCAAACAGGTGATAAAATGTCCAGAAAACTACAAAAAAAAACCCACTGAAAATTGCAGGGCTCTTGGGCCTCCACTGAAGCTTGCCTTACAGGATCTGCAAGCACTGACTGGAGGTCCTTTGTGCAAGGACCTAGACCTGCAGGTCCCCTCCTCTTTGGGTCACAGGAGGACTGCTCTCAGCACAGTGCCCAGAAAACACATTTCTTCGTTCTCAAAAGACCTGCTGCAACTGTCACCAACAGGCTCTTGGTGCACGCAATGCAGACCAGAGAGCTTGTCCTCTCTTTCTCTGATCAGATGTATCAATTCCTCCTCACCTGGGAGTTCCCCTCCAGGTGAGCATCCTGCCTCTCTGTTTGCTTTTATGTGGTCTCCGAATGCTGCCTGAACTCAGAGAAAGGGTGCAGAGAAAGAACGTTTTGGTGAATGATACATTGCTCCATTTGATATCTCAGCAGTCCAGCTTTGCAGCAGTTTCTCACCAAACATCTCTTCCACCTCCTCAAGAAAATTCGGTTTTGATTTTGCAAAGTGTAAAAATAAACCTCACTTGACCCCTTCAAGGGGAAAAGCCAGTCACATCATAAAGGACCCTTTGCTCCTGCTCCTACACCAGCCTCTAACAAAACGCTTGCCAAGTGAGGGGAGGTTGCACAATACATCCTGGCAATTTGTTTCTGACATTCCAGGGATCAAGACTTAGGAAAAAAAGTCCTGATTTATCTTAGCCCCTCTCTAAAGAAAGCAGCTGGAGGCTGTCAGCCAGTCTCTACAAAATGTTGCTCAGATTCCCAAATGAATTTGGTGAATTTGATGCAGTTCATTTGGGAATGATCCAGCCACCAGGAGCAAGAATGAGCACCACTACAGGAACACCCTCAACTCTTTTGATCCATTTACTGAGGAAACCCATGGTTGCAAAGAAATCACAAGCAAATCTCCTGCGGCTCCTCGACAGAAGCGCATTTCAATCTCAGTAATGCTAAAGCAAAGCCATTTGTTCACACAATAATGTCTTCTCTGGCACTGTAGGGTCAAGAATACCCGTTCAAGGGAGACCAGCTTCCCAATTAACTCTCTATAGCCAGAGGACATACTGCTGGTGTGCTCCACTTTCAGAAGCACTGTTCAACAAAACAAGAGACAGAGCCATCCCTGTGGATAGAGGTGCATGGCAGGGAGTGACTGGGGACTGCTCCCAAAGGCCCTTCTCATCTGATAACCATTTTTCTGGTTTTGATTTTCTGATTTTTTTTGTTTTCTGATTTTCCTGTTATTGGCACCAATGAAAATGGTTTGCAATTAGCTGAATTCCTGGTGTGTTTTTCCCTGAGAGAGGGAGCTTGGAAAGCCCCCTCCAAGGACAAAGCAGTGTCAGAGGGAGCATGGAGCCAGCCCTAGTTGTCCCCCTCCTCTTGGGGCACACAACCCTGCTTTTCTGGCCTGCATCTGAATCTTTGCCAAAGGGACCTCAGGGGCACCTCGGATCTGAGAGACTCTCCACCCAGAACCACTGCTCCTCAGAGGCACCACTCGGGGGAGCCATTGGTACCTGCTTTTCAGCACGGTTTCTTAAGATACCCCAGCCAGGGAGCACCACCAGCCTTTCTTCCTGCAGTGCCCACCTGATTCCATCACTTTAGAGGAGATGGGTGCTTGCCACAAGGAAGCAGAGCTAGGCAGTACCGAACAGGCAGCGGGTTCCAAGGGTGTAAGCTGCCTGATGTCATTGTGCCCGCTTTACTCAGGCCAGACCTGGAGAACCTGCACAGGGGTATGAGGAGAGGAAGAAGCTCCATCCCCAGCTGCCTTTGCTGTCCTCCTTCCTCTGGTCTGGTGGCAGCAGGGCACAGATCCTAAGGGCTTTTTGCCCCTCTCGCGTACCTTGGTGAGAACAGATCATCCCTCTGTCCTGGGCAAAGTCCAACTTTGCCAGTGCTGCTGAGAAGGTTTCTGACAGCCTGGCAGCAATGCACCCTGTTTAACTGCTACCTGGGACAGCAGTTACTGATCTTTGCCACAGAACTTAAACCAAAACCAGCTCAGGGAGCGGTGTGCCTGCCTCTTCCCCATCCTCCAGCCCACCCTGGAGCACAGCGCCCCTCTGCCTCGCAGGGATGGGAGCACGACATCCTGTGCAGACAGACATCCAGCCCTGGATAGGCTGCAGTCTGCTCCCATGGCATATCCCTTGGGGACATGGAAAAAGGGGAAAAGAAGTGCATTATACTTCTTTTGTAACATGCATGATGAGAAAGTCCCTCTGACACTCTTCCCACCTACCCTCAGGAGTGACAAAAGCCGTCACAGGCTGCTTGGATGTCACCACTGCCAGGATCAGTGCCATAGACTCCCTCTAACCCTTTCCAAACCCAGTCTTATCCTGTCATGAGATCTCCCGCAGCCCATGAAGGTCCCTTAGTGCCCATTGCCTGATCCAGTGCCACTTCCCCTGCCCCAGCACTTCACCTCCCCCTTGTGAACACAGCTGCTCCCCTGGGGAGCCTGCAGGGACACAGAGCTGCAGCTCACCTCCAGCCCGGGCCACCAGGCACAGGACCCTCAGCACAAACAGGACCTGGAGAGAAATAATCTTCATGTTCCTGTGGTTGGCAGCAGGAAGGGCACGCAGGGAAGGATTACCGCCAGTATTTCCCGCTCCTGACTGCTTATTGTGTCCTCCGGAGCAACGCAGTTGCTGCAGCTCATTCCAGGATTATGAAGACCTGAGGTGGGGGTTTCAACTGTTATTTAGCTCCCACAGACACATCCCAGGGTGACGACACAGGAATTGGAAGGAGGAGTGGGACAGGGGAGGGAATGTCGCCTGCACCAGAACTAGACAGCTCCTGGAATTCCCCGCCTGCACTTGCATCAGCTTTCCTTAGTGCGTGTAGATCAGCTGCAGCTCCTTGATGACTCATTCAGGCAGGGACGGACTTCCAGGAGTCACCTCCTCCATCCTCCTCTCCCACTGGAGGGAGGCATCAGTTTCCTCAGGCTTGTAAAGCTCTCCCCACCTCCAATCCACAGCTCCCTGGTGCACACTAAGCTCATTCTTTACCTCATATGCAAAAGCAGCTATTCCCTTCCTTGTTGGTGGCCATCTTACAACAGCAGCATAGGTCGTTAGGCAAAAGAGGCAGAATTTGCTAATCAGGATTACAAGTTCATCACCTAGACTGGTGAGTCCAAGCCAGGCTGCCTCTTGGGAACATCACCAAAGCCAGGGGTGAGCAGAGACCCAGTGGCCTCCCCAGCCAGCTCTGTGTTCGCTGAGAAGGCTGTCTGCACAGCATGCTTGTCACCACAGCCCTGACTTTGGATATACATCAGGGTCTCAGCCCTTGGGGTGTTGCTGATGGTGAGAGCAGGAGTACAAGGCACCCAGACCTCCAAGCAACCAAGCTGGCCAGGTTGCTTCCTGCACCAGCATGAAGCCAGGTCTGCAGCAGACATACGGACACGGCAGTCACATCCGGCACCTTGACTTTCTCTTTCATCTCAGATCCCAGCAGAACACGTGGCAATTTTCCCTGCCAACTCCCTCAGCTGAAAGATGAAGATAAGATCAAGACTGAGACAGTGTGGCTGCCTCTGAAATATTTTTTCCCAGAGTTTTCTTAGAGCTGATGGAAACCTGGCTTCTCTGTGCTGGGGGAAATTCCAGCAGTTCCAGTTAGGATTTTATTCCTAAAGACTGAAACCCCCTAGGTTTCCATATGATGTAATTTTAGAACATTTGGTGAAACCCCTAGCCTGTAATTTCAGCCTTTGCTTATATTGTAATAGAAGATAAAACTCATTTCAAGGAAATGAAAATAAAAATTAAAACTTTGAAATAGTCTGATCCAGCCAGAACAGAGAACACTGCATCTGTTGCCACTTTTTCTGGCCCCTTCCCCAGACGGTGTTTTCTCAGGCTCCACAGAGCCTTACAGGAAATTTGTACCCAGGAACTGGCACTGCCTGAGGCTGTTGGCGCCTTGGCTGCTGGAAGTGGTGTCATGGCCCACACACGCTCACGTCTCCCCAGAAGAAATGGGTTCTGCTTGTCCTGCAAAGGGCTTACTGCCAGCGATAGGTAAAACTGATGGAAGGGCTCCAAGTGTGCATACAGCATGCGAGGGTGAGTGCTCTGTTTGCTAAAGGCACAGCTTGCCACAGGCATTGTTTTAAGGCAGGAACAGCTCAATGCAGCTGCTTTTCCTGCACAGCCAGGGCTCATGGCAGTCCTGGTAGGGAACTCCTGCAGGACACTCTCGGAGACCCAGTTGCTCCCAGTGAGCTCAGCAGCTGGACTTGGGAGATGGCATCTGCAGGAGGGTGGAGGGCAGCAGCACCTCAGCAGAGCTTCATAGGTCACAGCCAAGTGCTGGCAGTGGCACTGGCCTAGGGCAAACCCTGCAGCTCCCTCCTGAGAGCAGGACACAGAGGCGTATCAACTGGCTCCAATGGGAGTGGGCAAAAAACATGGCCTGCAGCTGACAGAAAAGTGGAATCATTGCTCCTAACCCACTTCCTACACCACCCTCCCTGTCACCCTTCACATCTGCTCACTGCACTTCTTTTAGGTTTTGCAGCACTGAAAACCCCAAAGTCAGAGGATCTGCTATAGCCCAGGAGGTATTTCTGCTGTAAATAGCAATAAACCATAGGGTTTGTATTGATCAGACAGAGTCTCAGAACAAGGCCAGGTTGGACAGGGCTTGGAGCAACCTGGTCTAGTGGAAGGTGTTCCTGCCTGTGGCAGGGTGTTGGAACTGGATGAGCTTTAAGGTCCCTCCCAGAACAAACCAGTGAGGGATTCTGTGATTCTCTGGGCTTGTCTTGGCTTCAGCTGATTTTAGCTTCTTTAGTTATGATAGAAGTTTTCCAGGCAATTGCTGCTGTCAATTTGATTTAGCTTTGCTTTAGTCTGTAGGAATAGCAAGTAGTTAGTTATTCAGTGTGGGTCTGGGACTGTATATATTAAATTGTGATGTGGATGAGGGCAGACAGTAATCCTGGTCCATAGACATGAATCACAGCACTTGAGCAATGGAATGTTCAACCCTGCGAATAGGGACAACTAGCTTTCAGGAAACGAAGTGCAGAAAAGATGAGTTACTGGGAACTAGGGAACACAGGCTGTGCTAAGCAAATGTAGGAAATGAAACCAGCAGACCACGACTGAGAAGGAAGAAAGCCTACCATGAATGTCATATCCTTCCAGTGACCACTGCAGGCTGGGGCAGCTCCTCACAACCCTACCCCATTCTTCCATAGGAGGACGAAAAGGAGGCTTCTTGAGGTTATCCTTAGCACCCAAAGGCTCTCTGAAGGGGTGGTACAGCACTGACAAAAAGCAGTAGATCCTGGGAAGAGGTTTGGGATTTTCCTCATATAACTTCTAACTCCAGTATGAATGAGGAAGGACATTAAGCTGATCTGAAACATGGACAAGCCAAAAACATAAGCAGATGTACATCTGAGGGAACTAAGGGGTTTAGACTGGAGAAGAGAAGGCTCAGGGGGGAACCTTATCTCTGTCTACAGCTATCTGAAAGGAAGATGGAGCCAGGAGGTGGCTGGTCTCTTCTCCCAAGTAACAAGGGATAGGACAAGAGGAAACGGCCTCAAGCTGCACCAGGGGAGGTTTAGACTGGAGGTTAGGAACAATTTCTCCCTGAAAGGGTGTTCAGGCATTGGAACAGGCTGCCCAGGGCAGTGGTGGAGTTACATCCCTGAAGTGTTTCCAAACCGTGTAGATGAGGCTGTTAGTGACATGGTTTAGTGGTGGCCTTGGCAGTGGTGGGGAACAGTTGGACTTCATGATCTTTAAGGTCTTTTCCAACCTGGTTGATTCTATGATCTGTGCACCTGCTATCAAGTGTGGGCAGAAGGACCATGAACAGGGCACTGGGCACTTGCTGGCACTGCAGACCCAGGGGCACCTAACACAGCTCTAGGATTGATCCTCAGCACCCGCAGAAGGACTTGATGACTCAAAGCCAGGCAGTTCATTGTCAAGGCTGGAGCCTGGGCTCTCCATCTCCAGTTCCTGCTCTGCTGTAAGGGCAGTTTTGTATCAGGATGGATGTCCTGCTACTTAGGTCTTGGGCTGCTGCAGAAAGTTAGAGTAAGGTCTGGTGTGGCCTGAATGTTGGTGACAGCACAAGGCACACTCAGAAGCCCTAACCTTTGGTTGTTCACTGGCAACCATTAGTCAGGAGAGCTTATTGTTCCCTACAACAGACAGCACAGGCCAAATGGCCAGATCCCATATTCCCCATGAGAAGCACAGAAGTAGTTCCAGCATTTCCCACCCACTGCAGCTTTGCCAGGGCTGTTTGCAGGCAAGCTTTCCAGCTCTGCTCAGGCTCAAGGACCTCACAGGTGGAAGGAACATATGACTAGTGCTGGGGAACTGCTCCTGAAAGCAAGAAGCAGCTTAGCCCTGCAAAGACAATGTACAAAACGATATGCAAAGAGAACAAGGCTTGTGTCCCAAACAAAGAGGAAATAGCCCCAGAACATGGCCTGCCTACTCCAGGGTGTTTCCATACTGGAAATGTTTGTTACAGTAGGTTTGTCTTCCTGGAAATCACATGGTGACTGGAGAAAAAAGAAAGGTCAATGAGATCTTTGGAGGCTGTATGACCTGGAAGAGAGATGCCAGAGCTGATCCCACAAAATGATGAAGATTTCCACTGTATGGTGGGTTCAGGAGCTCTCAAGACCTCAGGAGTCAGTTTTCCTGGAGCATGGAAGCCCAGCACCCTCAGCAGTAGGTATTAACAGCACCCTTTGTTGCCCTCTGTCCCAGAAGCTTGCTGGAAAGAGGCAGCTGGAACATTCAGCTTTTGGGAAGACCCAGCTGGGCTTGATGCTGCAGAGGAGACAGGCTGCCCCAGGATTCCAGCTCTGGGTGTATGATGAGATTTTCTTTTTCTGGCTAAGCCCGCCTTGTGGCAGCTCATCCTTGCACTACTCACACCCTCGTCAGTGGTGATGGCAGCTCGGCCACTGTTCTTATACAGTCCCCCTTTGCTGCAGTCCAAGAGCATTAGACTCCAGGGAGCTGAAGTACCACCCCTGCGGCAGAGCTTCCATGCTCAGCAGGACTGGGGTCCTCAGGTTCTCTCAAGGAGTATATATGCAGCAAAGTCTGTGAGCCAGGACGTGGAAGACTGGTGGTGCACAGACTACAGATGAGGCCAGTGCATACAGTCAGTCCTTGATGTGCGGGACCAGATTTCCAGGCTTCAATCTGGAGAAACTCCAATGGCTTTTCCAACAACATGGCACTGGTTGGTATGGCCCAGAGCAGTCCAGAACTGGCCGAACAACCTCCTCTCTCCTGGCCAAGGCAACCAGTGACACACTCAGGCGATGGTTCCTTGGAGCTACAGGGGCCTCCCACTTTGGAGAGGTCTCCTTAATGTAGAGTTCTTGAGCCACTACTGTTATAAGGGAGAAAATTAAATAACGTGATCCATGAAATCTGTTTGGCACTGCACAACTTTGAATTTTCCCACATTCAAGAAAAGGGTAGGAGATGAGAAGCAGTCTGGGGCTGTCTGCAGCCAGTGCCTTCACAGGAGACAGCACCACTCT